GGAAAGTCTATTTGCAACTTGGCAGATGAGATGCCATTTTCTAAAAGGATAGGATTTGATACTATTTCCCTATCTTGCCTTTTCCGTTACCTCTGTCCCAATGCACAGTGCAGATGGCAATATACTGTATCATACAGAATCTGAAGTAATTTCAAAAGTGGAATTTTCTCTCTCCCATACATTGTTTTCAGTGTAGTACAAGAAATTTGGCCAATTCAAATTGTTGCCCTATGCATCATGAAAAAGATGAAAAATAAGATAGCTATTTGTAATTAGGAATACATATACACACGTTGCAAGTTATATAAAAATATATTAAATTCACACTTTTTAATACACGTTTATTTTTAAAAAAAAATATTAATATTTGTAGGTATCTGTGTAAGTGCACATATGATCTTTTGTTTGCCTTGTAGACTTGCAATATTTTTGCCGCAGTTACTACTATTGCACTCAGACTTGTAGACCTAAAATATATTAGAGGAAACCATTAACAAATGGTTCACCATTTGTCAGTGACCTATTGTTCAATAGGTGCAGGACTATGGAGCAAAAATTCATCAACATAGAAGCAATATGTCTGTAGATTTTCAAGCTTTAGAGAGTTTAAGGTGTTTGGTTTTTTTTTTTCCTCTTATGTACAGAAACGTTAGAAAACAAAATTCAAAAAATACCTACTTTGCTCCTGTTATTTGTCCAGCTCTGCCTGGTGCTAGGTTAGTGTGAAACAATATAGTTTTCCTGGAGTGAAAACATTAATATTTGTGAAATGTTTAGATATTGTGATGAGAGGGATCCTGTTAGTACTTAGACAGATGTATCTGCAACATCTGGCAGTAGATTTCATGGTCCAGTCAGAGGTCTGGCTTTGATAAGTCTGTTTAATTATCTCTTGGCTAAGGGATGTGTGTCTTTCCTCCTTATCTCTCATAATCCTACCGAGATCCCGTCTGGGAAAAATATTAGGTAAGTGAAAACTTAGCCCAGGGAGTTGATGAGGTGAGGTAAATCTCAAGCTGCCAAATTCATGAATACTCAAAGTTTTAGCACATTTTTACAAGCTTTGGCAGAAGGACATCATTAATGTTTCAGAAGTTCTCTTGATCTCTTTTTATTGCTCGTTGGCCAGTGTCCCTGTAGTTTTCCAATGTAGAATTCTTATATTACTGGAAGGAAGACAATACTTTTTGCTAGTTTTTTTTTTTTTTTCTTCTTTTTGTTTTTTTTTTTTCCCAATAATGACTTCCAAAATAAAGCAGAGTATAACAAAGTATGTAGCCTTAAACTTGGACATGAAAGTAGAACAATAATCAATCCTGATAGCTGTTCAGCTCTCTTGAGCATTATCTTTATCATATTTCTAAATGTTCTGCTTTGCTAATAGAGCATTTGTTACTATTAACTATATGTAGAATATTATACCTTAGCTAAAACTGTCAAGGAGTAACATTTAGGTTCTGACACATGAGAGTCCTGTAGAAACTTAATTGCCATGACTCATTTCTTCCTCATTTCTATTGGTTTGGTAATTCTCTCTACAGTGTTATTTTTTATAATCGAGCAAATATCTCTCAAGAATCTCTCACCTAATCTAACCAGTATATTTGATTCCACTGAGAAGCATCCAAACTATAGAAAGATATCCCACAAAATATATTAGTATTAGATAGGGTATATTTTTAAACCGAAAGATAAGTAAATTCAGGTGCTTAAGACAGATAATTTATCTAAGCAAGGTTTTTTATGTAACATCATCACATGTCTGTGTTCTTTCTCCAAGTTTCTTTTAAGCACTTGGTTAGTTTCTAACCATAAAAAATTTTGAAGGTAAATGGCTTTACTGAATTTTTGTGAAAAAATGAACATTGGAATTGACCATTGCTTTTTGCAACTTAATGGCAAGTAATCTGATCCAGTGTGATTTGCTTGTCTTTTGTTCCAAGAATACTGTTCTGATGCATTTTCATGATACAATACTAACAGAAAAAAAAAGTATTTATTTTTGTGCAGTTTTCAAAAACAGAAATTTTAAAAGTTAAAGAAATTTCTTTTGCAAAATATTTCTTTCTAAAGAAATAGCCTAAAATTTGAAGTGCTGGAAAAGGGATAATATACTTTTGTCTTAAAGAAGCCAGATGCAGTCATTATTGATGAGAGCACCAATTATTCTCCAAACATTCTGAATTTCTTTGAAGGAACATAAAATCAGTCTATTCCTATATGAAGACTTGATCATGACAAGGGTTATGAGGACTACATCTCATAAATACTAAGTTGAAGGAAATTAATATCACTATGACTGAAAACTTGATTTGGTTGAATCTTAATTCTATAGGTGTTTGAGACCAGTCATGCTGCCCTTACCATTTTGAGTTCTTACTTTGTTTTCCACGGGTCATTAGCAGAAGATTTACCCACAAGTGAACCATGCTGAGAGTTCAGTAAGTAGTTGAGGACTACATTCTTTTATAGTACGAATCAAAACTCAGTCATTTTACATCCTTCTACACCTGCCAGCACTTTTAAAATGTGCAGTGTCATCAGAAGCTGTTGAATGTATAATTCAGGAAGTAAAAACAGGATTCTATTTAGATAAAAAAGACCTCATGTTAACTTGATATGCGCTGCTGCACATGGCTTCATGCTGCACATACTTCACTTCAAGAACCATCCATTACAAAGGGCTTCCCCCCTCTGTAGAAAACCAGCAGTCAGAACACTAGGAAAAAATCAAGCCCTTTAAGCTTAATGCCTATGGTACAAAAAACTTCTTAATGATCTGCTAGATCAGTGACTAAAGAAATGACATAATGGCTCTTTCTATATGAATTCAGTGAAGGCACAGGAGATCACACACCACAGTAAATCAAATGAAGAAATATTTAAATACTGTTTAGTTCATAGATGAATGGTCTGGTAAACTGTAATGGAGCTTTTTGAGCCATTATGTTCTAATGAAAAAGTGCAAGTTCTCTGCATCTATTAGAAAGCAGGAACCACAGTGAAGCTGTAATGGTCTAGTGTGCCAAAGCCTATGTGGAGCATTTTTAATTAACTATTCATCTGCTCATTAGTTAGAATTAATGCAGACGGATCTATTAAGATCTACTGTGTCAAAGAGTTGTCAGGTCAGGAGTCTGTAAAGTCTGAAGATATATTACCTAGTCACAGTATCGTATTACAGACTGACAGAAGAATTGCGTCCTTAAAAAATAAAGCTAGCTCTGAGTAATGCTTCTGCAAGCAAATATCTTAAATCTTCTTCAAAGAGCTATTTTTCCCAGTTCTGTAATTAATCAGAAGAACATAATCTTAGATTTTTTTTCCTCTAACACAGCCGTGTTTGTCAGTTTCTGTAACATCATTTAAGAAATTCTAGTTGTGCCATCCTGAAATAATACTTCATCATCCTTTGTCCTCATAACCATGAAGGGAAGAGTTCTCGAGTGAAGTTGTTCTGGGAACTGAATTTTTGACAGAGGGATTGGCAGCTGGGTTTGTTTGGCCTTAAGAAGAGAATGCAGAGGGCTCTCTTCAGCCAGTATGGGAGGGAGTCGAGAAGATGGAGGAAGACTCTTCATGGACTATAGTTGGTGCAAAAGGCATTAGATGCAAACTGCAAAAAGGGAAATTGTCATTAGGTATAAAGAATTTATCTATTTATTCGGAACGGTTGTCAACTACTAGAGCAATTTGATCAGAGGATCAGAGAGTCTATGGAAACTCCATCCTTATTAGTTGCACTAGGTTTTCTCTGAAGTCATATTCCAGTCTCTTCTTCTGTGATTCCGTGATTCCAGAAAATCTCTACATTGAAATTTTCAAATTTCATAGTAATGTAAAAAATGCCTAAAGTTTTAAGCAGATAAAGTATAAATATTTGGAAATACTTATGAGACTATTTCTCTACCAACTGCCTACAACCTTTTTGCTGAGAAACTAAGTTATCATTTATCAAAATAATCTACATTTTTTTTGTTAATTACTGCCAACTTTCTGTTTCTTTTTACCTCAATGCTTCACATGGGAAGAAAAGGTACAGAAATTATCCTCCGTTTGTGTACACATTAGGCAGTGAATCTGGATTACTCACTGTTACATAGAATCACGGAAGAACAGAACAGCTTATGTTGGAAGGGACCCCAAATATCATTTAGTTCCAACTCCTATGTCATGGGCAGGGACACCTTCCACCAGATCAGAATGGCCAGGGCACCATTCAGCCTGGTCTTGAACACCTTCAGAGATGGGACATCAACAGCTTCTCTGGCAGACTGTGCTAGTACCTCATCACCTTCTGAGTAAAGAATTTCTTGCCAATGTATAAGCTAAGTCTCTTCTCTTTTAGTTTCAAGCCATTTCTCCTTGTCCTATCACTATATATCTCTGTAAAATTTCAGTCCCCTTCCTGCTTATAGCTCCACTCAAGTACTGGAAGGCCGCAGTGGGGTCTCCTCAGAGCCTTATCTTGTCCAACTGGAACAATCCCAGCTCTTTCAGTTTTTTCTTATATGAGTGTTGTTTCAACCCCCTGATAATCTTTGTGGTCTTCCTCTGGATGTATTCCAACAGCTCCACATCTTTCTTATGCTTTCTTGTACAACATTCTGCAATGAAACAATATTTTACATATGAATGTGTAAGTTCTTTGAAGAGTGGATCTTCTCCCTATACTACCCCAGAGGTCTTAAAACCATGCCACTTTATTTTATGGTATCAAATATTCCATAAATGTAGTACACTACAATTACCTTAAGAGGAAACCTATGCATGTGTTTAATATGATTAACTTCTTTGATGAATATCATTGTTTTCTATGGAAAAAAATAAGCTAGAGCATTGTAGCAGAAATGCTAAGTCATGGCCTGAACCAGTCACTGAGCACCTGGTGGGAAGGCAGGATCAACCCAGCAGAACTCAGGTGCAAGCAATGCACCTGAGTGACTGGGAGGGGTGGAGCCAGGATGCACCTCTTCCCAGACCTCATTTAAGGGTTGGCAGTGGAAACGAGAGCAATCTACTGGAGATTCCTGCCTATTGGGGGTCTTCTAAAGGTGGGTAGTTTTTCTTGCTTTGTTTATGGGTGTATGACTCCTTCATTTAGGCTTGTTTTTATTTGCTGTAGCCTAGGATTGTGCTTCTTCACTATTAATGCTGTTCCTTCTGTCACATTATAGTATTGTAAGTCTTCTCTGCAATAGTTTGTGATGTACCTGAAACACACAGGCTGTCTAAGCAGAAGCTGAATATTTCATTCAATGTTTTTCTGGTTTTGTATTTTGGGATGAGGTTTGAAAAAAAAGCTTATTTGGATCCATCCAAGTAGCTATATGTGATGTCAACAAGTTCTGCATAAGTACTAGGGTAACAAAAAAAAAAGCTGAGATTTTTATCACTTTCAAAAAATACTAATATTAATTTATTACAAGGGGAGAAAAGGGGAGAAGAACTATATACACAGGTGAAATTTCACTGCTTGTAAAGCAGTACTTGTGCTTTCAGTCAATTAACAATGACCTGTGTTTGGTGTCCTTGATCCTAAACTGCAGTGGCTTTTGAAGATATCAGTAGGTTTTGAATTTAGTCATTCTTAACGGAGTAAAGATCAGGAAGCATTTAAGCTTGTTTGTGCACTTACCAGCCTTTATTGATATATCTGGGAACTTGGAACATTACTGAACATTTTGCTGAATCATAAAAAAAAAATCTGTTGCAATAAGGATGTGTTATATATTTACAAATGTTCTGACTATATTTAGAAACAATATCTAGGTAAGTAGCTCTATAAAGCACACCATGAATCAAAGATGTGACAAGTTATTGTTGTGGCTTAACCCAGGAAGTAGCTAAACAACTTCTTGCTCACTCGCACACTCCCAGTGGGATGGGGGAGAGAATTGGGGAAAAAAAAATTTCAACATGGGTTGAGATGAAAACTGTTTACTGAGAAAAGGAAGAGAGGAATAATAATTATGATAATAATAATTAGGGGTGTGTGTGTATATATGTATATATATATGTATATGCAAAGAAAGTGATGTGCAAAGCAGTTGTTCCACCACCACTGACAAATGCTAAACCAGTGTTTGAGCAGCTGCAGCCCCCTGGGCTACTCCCTGTTTTTATGGTTTTTGGTATGTGTATATTTTGTATGTCTTGGTAGATTTTGGTTGTACGGTATGGAAGATTCCTTTGGCTAGTTTAGATCAGCTGTCCTGGTTCCGTCTGCTCCCAGCTATTTGTACCCCCAGATCCTTGCTGGCAGGATTGTTTAGAAGCTGAAAGACTGATGTCTACTTGACTCTGTACAGTGCTGCTCAGCAAAGACTCTTTAGTCTTTGCATCAAGGTTATCATGCTGTTTTTTTCCTAAAACCAAATCATAGTATCATACCAGTTAATATGAAGAAAATGAACTCTGTCCCAGCTGAAATCAGGGCAGTTATCTTTCACCTCTGAACATAATAAAGCCCATTCTACTTTTTTTCACCCTTGTGTGGCCTTCCTTGCCATATTAGGAATTAGAAAGTGCTTCTTTTTCTTTTCTTCCTCGGAAGGACGCGCATCAGCTTTCTCTTTCAGATCTGACTTTCTAATCCTTCTTAAATCTAATATTTTCTCACATTTAAATAAAACTCTTCCAATCTGATATCTGATACTAGTTCAAAGTGAGGCAATCAGCTAAGAATAACTAAAAATAATTACTCAAAGAGCAAGAAAAAAATCAATAACATGAGGAATCAGATTGAAATTTCTCCTGAAAAGAGCAACTGATCAAATCTTGCAATCAATATTTTGATTTTTTTTTTTTTTTTTTTTTTTTTCCTCACATTGCAGAGATCTTTATAAAAGCTTCTGCACAGTTATGACACACCTGTGATCTCGGCTTCACCTGCAGGTCTCTGGGTACATATTCCTTTGCATTTCTGTATACCCAATTAAATAGAGTTTTTTCAGAAGGATACTATCCTACTAGTGAGAGAGTCTTAGTGCAAAAACTGTGCATGGAACTTATCTGCATTGTCTAGTGAAGTGCATGCCCAAAAGATCTTTGCACTTCTCACTTGTTCAGAGAGGGTGCAAAACCTGAATCTGGCAAGAGTCCCTGGAATGTGTCCAGAGAAGGGCAACGAAATTGGTGAGGGGTCTGGAACACAACCTTTATAAGGACAGACTGAGCGAGCTGGGATTGTTTAGTCTGGAGAAGAGGAGGCTCAGAGGAGACCTTATTGCACTCTACAACTTTCTGAAGGGAGGTTGTGATGAGGAAGGGTTTGGTATCTTCTCCCTGGCAACAAATAGGACCTGAGAAAGTGGCTACAAGTTGCACCAGAGGAGGTTTAGATTAGACATAAGGAAAAACTTTTTCTCTCAGAGAGTGGTCAGGCACTGGAATGACCTGTCCACAGAGGTGGTGGAGTTGCTGTCCCTGGCAGTGTTCAAGAGGCATCTGGATGAGGAGCTATGAGATATAGTTTATTGGCTTGTGGTAGCAATGGTAATGGGAGGAAGGTTGGACTGGATGATCTTGTAGGTCCTTTCCAACCTTGTGATTCTATGATTTTAAGATCTTTTCAGTTAGATGAGGCAAGCTTTTTCTCATACTGAGGGTAACACTTACTGAGGTAGGTTGTAGATGACTGTACTTTGCATTTCAGAGGAAGCAGTCATGCTTTTTCAAAGTGACTAAGTATACTAGTCAGGACTTCACAGGACCGAGATCTTTGTTACCTAAACCTTTAGCATCAAGTTAAACAAAATATAGTATAATCCTCATACTCAGATGAACTTTACTTTTAACATATTTTAGCCATGTGCTAGGATTCTAGTAGTCCATCCTTTTTCATTTGTGATTTGCTCTATTTTGGTTTAAATTATATTTAGGCAGTAAGGATGTGCCTTTTTCTGAAGTTTGTATAATACCAAGTGTGAAAGTATGGCTGGAACTTCCTGAAATGTTAATAAATCACAGATTCAGGATCTTGGGTTTGAGACTAAAGGGCATTGTGGCAACTGAGCAGGCTCAGATACCTTTGGTACCACTTTAATGCCAAATACTGGCAGTTAGTGACTTAGGAGTTCCCTTGTCCCATCCAAAATTCCATGAGGAAAGTTGCAGGTGCAGTATGGCAGCTGGAGTCACGTAGATGGTTGTCATGGGGCCAAGTCTGAACATCTGTAGGCTCTTTGCCTCTTCAACTCAGGACAGTAGTTAGATGGGTAAAGAACATTCCATTCTTGATTAGCTTTGTTCAAATTTGAGTGGTGCCTGTCAGCTGTCTGTCACTGCTTGTAGTTAAGCTGTGCCTTGATTCTGTAGGGCTCACTGAAGCTCATAGACTAACATCCTGATCAATTGATCCTAACTGTCCATTTCAAAATTACCTTCATAATCTCACAGCATCCTTTATATGCATGTATTTCAGGATGTTTGACTTTCTTACTCGTTTGCTACTGGAGTGGAGATGGATTTGGTCACCTCCGAGAGCAATGCCAACATGAATGCATGAAAAAGCAGACAAGGGAAAGCCAGTGGGCATCAAGGTCAGAAGCAAAACTGATTCCCTAACACCAGAGCCAACAACAGAAGGGAGAGAAAATCATGTTTTCTCTAATGCATGATCGTAAAGTACTTACACAGCTCTGAGCTCAGTGAAGAGGAGGAGATAGTCTAAAAAGACAGGCAGAATGTTTCACATGAAACGGTCTCGCTACTAAGGAAGTGAGAGGCGAGAGAAATTTTTTTGAAAGGAGAGGAGAAAGCTAGACATTTATTCCATTCATCAAAGGGAAGGAAGAAGCAAATGAATCAGAAATCAAAGATTGAATATCATTGGTCTTGCTGACAAAGCAGTCAGCAATCCTCTCACAGAAAGTGCAGGGGTTTGTTGAACAAAGCAAAGGAATTTAAAAGTCTTGAATAAAAATAGAATCTTTCCATTTATAAAATTAGACATAATTTCAGAACAGTGTTTTGATTTAGGAACTGTAAAGAATTTCTGCATTAAAAATATATAAATCCCAATTTTGTGATGTACAATTAATAATGACTTTGTCCAAACCCTCTCCAGCATCCTTTGTAATTCTCTTAAGAAAGCATTAAATGAGGGCATCTTCACTTTAGTTGAAAATCAATGACGCTTCAATGAAGCGTACATTTCCAAAATATTATGCAACTGAGAAGCATGCTGTTCTGCAGCTAATCCAAGAGGCCAGGATTTCCTAAGTAATACTGCTGATTTAGTAGCAGGAATTACAATTAACAGCTTCAGAATTTGTAGGTGCATTTGTTACTTACCTAGAAGTCTCAGGGCAATCCCCTGGGGTTACTAACTTCAAACTGAATAATGCAATGCTCAATCAATACAAACCAAAGGATAATTATATGTAATTTTTTTGTGAAAATATGATTTCAACTTGTGTGTGCGTGTGTGACAGAGGAACCAGAGCATGAAGGCAATATGGGAAAGAAACAAGAATCCAGAGCTTTGTGTCCAGCCATGATTGAGTAACTGCAGAACCACAAACTAAGCTTCCATCTATTGAAAATCCTGTTCCTGTTTTAATTTCATCTATGTGAACTGTAAACTTTCTGTAACTCCTGGATCTGTTTTTACAACCCTAAATAGATGGCTGAAATTACTTTCAGTTGGGTTATAGAAAAAAGTGTCTAGTAGTAGACATGTACTGGATGGGAAAAAATATCCAAAAAGGGAAGAAAAGTTAATATAAATATCTGATTAAGTAGTTGCTGAGTATCTCACTTTCATTGTTAGCAGGAAAGAAACAAAAGCTGCAAGAGCATGAACAAGTAATTTGCTTCCCAAATGGATATCCAAATACATTGCCACCACTCCTTTCCTCTTTCAGCTTTCTGTCCAATGACTCTTTACTGTAGAAGCATATAGATTGATATTGTACTTGTTCTACTCTTCAAATTTTGGCTGTAGTTATTAAAACAAAATTTAAAAAAGATAAGGAGAAGAAATCAGCTAAGACTGCTTCCTTGAAGTGGCAAACCTTCTAGTGTCTAAGGCCAACTTTCTGTTAAACATCTCACTTTATGTTAGGTACCAGTTATATAATGCCTAATCAGCAAAAATTTTGGGGTGTGTGTGAATGTGTGTGCATGTTTAATAATAACAGACTTGTATTAAAAAAGTCAAAAAGGAATTTCTAATAAGAAAGGAAGTGCCTGCTTTTGGAGAAATTAACTGCTCCAGTGGATTGCAAAGATAAAGCAGAAGAAATTATCCAATAATTTGTCTGTTGTAATTAGAGATGGGCCTGAGATCCCACATTCCCAGCCAGATCCAAATTATGGGGGCATCCGGAGCTGGGGTTATAATTTTGTATGACTTTCACTCAGGCTAATGTGAAGAGCAGATAAAAGCTGGGGAACCTGGTCCCTTGCTGCAGCATGCAAACAACTCTTATGGACTTTAAAGGCACTTACCCAAATCCTATGGCAGAAGATTAGGAGCCAATTCCTGTAAGTTAGTGCATCTTATTCATAACATTTTCCCTTTGGTTATAATACTGAAAGCTATGTTATGGCATTGAGACAGTGTTAATTAATTACTTGCCTCCTGCAGTGGTAGACCTGAGACCCATAGGTTTCCAAAACTAAATTTTTAAAACATGCCTGAGAAGCAGCCATTTTTTCAGCAAAATGAAGCTTTCCCTCCCAAAACATATTTCAAAACTTTTCTTTGCCTAAATGGATGGTGATATTTAGAGGAAGGGAGAGAAGAGTTGCAGCAACCATGGGCGGGACATAATGCTTTTTGTGAATCATCTTAACCAGTAGGCCACCCATTTATCAGTTAAAGAGCAGGACTGAGGGAGACCACTGAAAATCAACGTATGGCATGCAAATGTGTGGACACCTGTAAGGAGGCTGAGCAGTGTGCTTCAGATCTAGCAGGTATAGCTTGTCTGTCTCTGCTGTCAGTGGCCAAGTAATGGTCCTGCAGACCAGGATCAATATGGGACCATACTGCACCTCCCCTCCTGCCTCATGTTCTTTCATTCAGATGACAGCAGGCCCTGCTTAAACACACACTCACATCTTCTATAAAGGTGCTGTGAAGATGTAGCTGGGGTAAACTACATGGCTGTTTATAATGGAGCCTGAGCTTCTACCTAATAGACGGTAAAAATCAGTTGGTTCTTCTCAGTCGCATCTACAACAAAAGCTGACTGGGTACAGTAGTGCAAATAACCTGTTCTTGCTGCTTGTCTTTATTAAGAAGGGAGTGATTGTAAGGCATGAGGAAATGGAAAGATACTGCATGTGGATAATCTGTTAGATGAGCAAAAATTAGTAGCAGTGGTGATAATGACCAAGATGAATCTGAAGAAGAGGAGCCTCGGAAGCAAAAAACCTCAACAGTTTTTATGCAGTGGTTTAAACAAGCAGCTCAGGGTAAGAAAATCATTCACATGAGAGTTTCCCCTTGCTTTTTAACAACAAATGGAAGTGCTGCTGAGAAAGATGCTTTGTGAAGGGGAAAGTTACCAAAAGGTGAGAAATAACTGTTCAGCAGTGCCAACAAACTGGTACTGATATTCCAGGAAGACTGCTGCCACCATCAAAGCATCTGGCCTGAGCCAGCCCATGCAAACAACAGAAGGTGTAATTGCATTGCTGATTCTGGTTACCACAAGTTCAAAAAGAGTGAATAAAGCACCCTATAAACATGAACATATTCCTGCTAATTAAGTAAAAACTAGAACAAAAAACAAAACAATTATCAAGCAAATGAAGGAAGCTAAAATCAACCAAAACCCTATAAAATCTGCAGAAAAAAGCAGCTAAAAACATGACTAAAGCAGACCTCAAAGCGTAGCAGCCATCTGTGCCAGCCAGGATCTAGTAATAATGCAACTCCTAATAGCAACATGAATAATAAAAGTAAAACTCTCATGAGTTGCTATGTTTTTTATTTTTGGTGGGTTTTTTTTTTCAGCAACAGTAATAGATTTTTCTCTGTGGTCTCTGCTCTTTACATATGGATCATTATAACTGTTGTTAACACTTGCAAGGAGGATCCTCCTTTTCAGATACAACTTTAGGGCTTACATTCACTGGGTTAAATCCAGCTTGGGGAGCTCAATACTGTGCTCCAAGGATTTCCAGGAAGAACTTTTCACCCTGCAGCTGTGGAGCCAAAGCTCCCACTGTTGTACTTTCACTGTCAGGAATTTGAATCACAGATGTTTCTGGAAGGTATTAAGCTAAGAGACAGTGTAGGTATGCAGGACTTCTTTGCTCCATTAAACATCTCTCCTTCCCTTTCTTTCCTGAATGCTATAGAGATCCTCTTGCTCTTTGGTGAACTGAGATGTTCAAGCAACAAACGATCACTATGGAAGCTGCAGGAGAGTTATTGCTTGGCAAGGGAAGCTTCTGGCCATACTGATAGTAGATGGAGTAAGAGTAGCAAAATGGAAAGGTTGTCTCAGCTGGGGTCCTTGGAGAAGTTTGGATTATCAGAAGGACAATAAAAAACTTTTATTGTATTGAGGTTTTTAAAGGTACAGAAGAAAAACAAGTGTTGGACATAGAAATGGCAGTACTCAAGACATCCCCATGTTGTCTGTTACCCACTTCTTAAGTTTCCAAAAGTGGAGAGAAGATCTCCCATACAACAGCTCTGATGTTCTTGAAAGCTTACCAAGGCCAACCAAGCCTAAATAGCACTTATGTACACCTTATCCACAACCGTAATATCATCAGAGCTTTGTAAAACATGCATGACATTTCTCCTAGATCCTAATGAGGGAAGTGCTGGAAGACAGAAGCTACAGAATCATAAAAATCTTACCTACAACTTTTCAATCCATGAATCTCTCAAGACTCCTTCCAAACCCTGCAATTCTGTCATTCTATGTTTCGATAAGGGCATAGACTGTAGAAGAGAGAAAATATGTTTTATAATAAAGGAGTATTTAGGAGAATGAGATTTTGGAGATAGTTTTGTGTTCTCTTTGTTTCTGTAGGCAGAAACTCCATCAAAGAAATCTCATGTTAAATTCTACAACGTATTTCAACTTGCCAGTCCTTTGAAAATGCAGATGTCTGGTCGTGCTTGGTGCAGTAGAAAGCTGTTCTTCTGCATGCAATTTCTACCTAGATCTCCCTGTGGGAGAAATACTGTTAATTTGAGGCAACAGCTTCCCAACAGAGATTGCCCAAGAATGAATTCCTTGTGCCCCCATTATGTCTGCTCCCAGCTGGAGAGTCTTTCAGCAGATACACTGTGCCTTCACAATTCTCTACTAGGTGAATTTTCTGCTACTACGTTAAGCATTGTGCTATGTCCCCTGTGTAACATTGACTGAAATGTAGAAACGATCAAGTCATCTGAAAGGATACGAGGAGGTTTTAATTTCCTGAAATAGACCTGCTGTTCAGGCAGTATTGCCTTCTCCATAATAGGAAGTTCAGGAATATCAATTTCTAAATTTGTCTATTCAAATTAGCCTATTACCATTAACGCCAACACCATTGAAAAAACCATGAGTCAGGCCCCTCCTCAAGCCATGGGAATCTAATGATGTAGAAACATTGTCCCTTTTTCTTTGTCATCTGATGTTTTAAGCCATTTGGAGTCAGGTTTTCACATTCTCCTTCACAAAGGCAAGATTGGAAATTTACTTTCATTCCTCCACATGAGAAGAAAGGATTTCTTGTCATTGTACAAGTTCAGGAGCTGAGCTAATGTTGAACTGCAGGAGCAGACAACACTGCTTGATGTTTTTTTTCAGGTGCTTCTATCGTAAAGAAATGGTGCATACCATCATGATCAAGTTAATTGGTTAGACCTGTCCAAGAATCTGTGCACAGACACTTAAATGCACAGTCATAATCTCATACAAAATAGAGCTGGAAAAAGCTCAATCTGGTCCACCTCTTTGGTTACAGATGAAATCTCTAAATCTGTGCCATTCTTGCTCAGCCTGTCCTGAAGGATCCCCAAAAGTGGAAGCACCATCGTCTCCTCAGTGATTCATCGCCTTATATTTAGAGAATCATTCCTAAAATTGCAACTTGAATCTCGTGTGTTGTAATTTAAGATCATCTTGTCTAAACCTGTGACCTACCACAGAGTATTTATTGTTCCATTCCACTGTGCAACAGCCTTGTCAGATGTCCTGACAGTTTTTCTCAAGCTAAATAACTCAGTCTTTCAATCTTCCCTGTTAGACTGTATTTCCTAGTGCTCTGTGCATTGTGCTCTGGAAGTCTCTCCAAATGATTCAGTTTCTGCTGAAGCACTGTATCCAAATCAAGACATGTAATTTTAATTAAACTTTACCAGGACAAGGTAGACAGTAAGGACTATTCCCCGTGTCTTGCTGTTAAATTTTTGTTTATGCACTCGTGCATCTTATTAACCATCTTCATATCAGTTTGATGTTACTGCTCAGGTTCAGCTTGTAGATCCCTATGCCCTCTTGAACTGTTTCTAAGCCAATCAGCTGCTCATTCTTCTATTATGCAGCTGCTAATTCCTACTTATCATTAAAACTTCACACTTACTAAACAGCCGCTATATGTTTTTCAGACTTTTCCTTCAATTTGTGAAAAACATTTTGATTTCTAGTTCTGTCTCCAAATGTGTATGCAGTCTGTCTCTGGTTTGTGTCAGCAGCAAATTTAATAAGCATATTCTCTACTCTATTGTTTGAATTCCAGTATCCAGAACAACTATTGCAGAACCTCAGCTGATACATTCCGATACCCTTAAAGAAAAGGGTATAGGTAGTGCTTAGGGACATGGTTTAGTGGTGGACTTGGTAGTGCAAGTTGTTGGTTAGACTTGATGATTTTAAAGGTTCTTTTCAGCAGAAATGTTTCTATCATTCTCCGATTCTGGGTAGAGTTTTCTGATCAAAATTTTAATCCGTGACAAGTAGTTTCATTCAGACTATATTATCTTAAAACAAAACAAAAAAAACCCACAAACAACACTAACCAAGGCCTTTATAAAGCAAAACCTGCCACTCCCATTTTTTTTCCGTATGTACCAGAAAAAGCACATTTCAAGACTAGTGAACTAATCCCATTTTAAGAATGTTGGTCACTGCCATAGTTGTTTTTAGTTTATAAATATTTATAGCCATCTGTAGTTACCTTCAGAAGACTCCTATGGATTTCCACAGAAAATATCTTTGCTATCTCCCAGAAACCTGTACCTAGCTATTACTTCTGTTAGTCTTTTCTCTGGCACCTAATTCTAAGAAATCCCCCAGAAGTAACATCAACTATTTAATTCCTGTGTCTATGGCTCCTCACAGAATGTCTACAAGTGGGCTAACATACATTCACTTCAACATTTCAGGCCTGTCTAAAAGAAATAAAGGCCAATCATATATGAGCAGCAGATTTCAAATAGAAAACAACTAAACGTCTTATAGAAAGAACGTGGTCAAATAATGAAAAATAATTGTACTTGAGAAGATCCGTTTGTTCTGCAGCATACC